ATCAAATTAATGCATTCGAAATTAACTCAGCGGGATTGGCTACACAGTTCATAAAAACACGCAGAAGTGTTATATGGACTAACTTTGGAGAGAGCTTTATGTGCTTTTTTATGTTTAAAGCTGTTATATTTACGCCTATAAACATTAAATTTTCTCATAGACTTTTCCCAACAACTACGAATTTTGAGATACTTAACTGCTACAAGAACTGTTTCAGTCTCATTCTATGTATTACGTTAAACTAATATGTTAAGCTAATGAAAAACATTCATGCATTAAAGTTTATGGAAAATGATCTGGTTTTAAAACTTTACATTCATGACTATTAACTGTTATATTCTGACGCTTTCTTAATAGTTCTTAAGTATCAAATATGTGTCAGACACTTCTGGAATGGGTTGAATTGGAAGCGATGAAACAACAATAGCAAAATTAGAAAACAAGAAAATGTTAACATAACTAAAAAAACTCTGTTAATTATAACTTAAAGTAATGTTAAGAATAAAGAAAGAAATTTGATAGAATAGTAAAATAAATAAACAAAAACAGAATCAAAATTACATTCCGAAAGTTTCAAATACTCTTTCGGAAAATAATCACGAGTTTGAATCCTTTCAAAGTATTTTTATTCAAGAACGTTATTTTGTTATTCCAAACAAAACATTTGCAATCTCCGAGTCCTTCATTTCACAGTTGACTGCCTTCAGCAGCACGGATAATCATCAAAGATTTCTTTGATAATATCAACCATCGATAACCACCAGAACACCAGTGCCTGTACCATCTTTTCCCAGAACAAAGAGTACTATTAGTTCTTCCGATGCATAAGATGGAAAATACTTAGAAGCACCAAGCATCACTTTGATCACCTATTTTTTCGCTCTGTTACCATGGGCGACAAAAGATCTACAGACAAAAATACATCAACCAAATAATGCATTTGTTGTGTTCCTGGATTTTTCTACCTCCTGTGACTATCCTATGAATATTTCTTTTGGAAAAATACTTTGCCTTTTTTCCATGTAAGTTTCATTTTTTTTAGTCCTCGGCAGAAATGGAAATAAAGAGTTTCTGTCTCTTGAGCATTGAGGCTAAAAGTTATCAAGAGGAAATTAATTTCCATATTTATGACACAAAACAACTTAAATCTTTCACAAATAATGCTAGCGTAATAAAACAATATAAGGAGTTGATATAAATAATTTATAGCTTTCCAAAATTTGGTATTTTGTAAAGTACTACAAATTAAAAAAATGAATATTACATTAAAAAAATGTCTCAGATTTTAGATATTTCGCTCTGAATGTTTGATTATTGTTCTTGTTGTCACACAACACACGCCCAAATGACATTCCAGTTCTGCCTATACATATTGTAACATTTCCCTGCCGATGGTCGCCAAAGAGCTGAATCTTTGTTCTGGATTCCCTCTAATGTTGCTGGAAATAGCGGAATATAAACATTGTCTTTATCTTCTCTGAAAGCAAACAATTACTTGGTATAACACCAGAGGACATTTATGCCTATCTAAACAATATTAGGTCATCTTCCTCATGCCGACCAATCCAAAGTCATGTGAGTTCGTAATTCAAGCAGAGACGTACCTCAGTATACCAATGAGGCACAACCACGCCTGCTGAAATTTGAAAGTATCCTGAATCCTCCTTCATTTGAGGAAATAACTGTAAATGCAATCGACACAACACTCAGCTTCAGCCTGTTCACCTTCAGCGTTTATTCGAAAAACAGGTGAGAACATTATAGAATGACAAGGCACTTTTGGCACCGACAGTTTCTCTTTCACGATTTTCCCAGTTCTTTGCCATATGTATCATTTGACGATTTGGCAATAACGTGGCGAATTTTGTTTCTGTTCTCAGTTATATAAACCATTCGAAAACAACTGGAAGATTTTTTGCTTCTTCAGTTGCGCTGACGCTTAAACGAGTAAAATATAATTCTTCATTTCTGTTACATTGTGGAAAATGCTGAAACAAATAAAGGATACATGTTCTGCTAGTCTTAATCTAGATGTAATCACTTTTGCTGAGGAATACTGCGAATGGAACTGAAGATGAAATGAAGGATAACAATATTCAGAGGTCAAACGAAGGACAATAACACCCTATCCGGACTTGCCTTTAAGACAAAGAGATCGGCTAGTGGAATTAAGTAAAAAATCTAAAATTTCTTCATTTATTTAACTTACAACATTATTTTTGTGATTGAATTAATTTAACATTATTTTTAACTCATATATAACCCAATGTTCAAATTACAATATTGAAAATTTACTAAAAGCTCTCCGTTATTACATGAGTAATGAAATAGTATTATTAACTTAATGCTTATTCAAAGTAAACGAAATATCAATCTATACATCTTCTACATCCTATACTATCAGCTGAAACGATATTTTAATTTACGTATGACTTTCAAAATATTTACTGTATACACAGTAATATTTACTGCTTGAAAATAATACCGATTATTCAGCATTTAATGTTAAATATTTGCCTTTCATGAAATGGCAGTATTTATTTCACGCATGATAGCCCTCATATCTGGAATTCATTTGGTAGTATCAAAGTTTTTGGTTTCGATATTTTGCTCTGTCAACGCATATACTGGCAACTCGGATTCGTAAAGTTATTGATATTAATCTGCTGTGAGTTAATCATTTTTCTGGGTCGATTTTAACAAAATGTTAGATGTTGGGATTGCATTAACTTTCAGAAAACTTACATTAAAAATAATATTTGTTTTTCAGTATAATAAGTTACGATTTCCCCTTAACAGGAATATAATTGAAAATAAAGTTCTAGAGCTTAAGGAGAGCTATAAAAGGTAAAAGATAAATTTTTAAAGGTCTATTTTAAACTTTTAAAGGTCTAATTTAAGTATTATCTGAAAGAAGATTTAGAATTCGCTTACTGAAACAGAACTTACACAGACTATTACTTACCAAAAAACGAATTCCAATATTATCTACTTCTGTTATCAATAAAATTAAACATTTTCACAAGAACCTTAAAATTTCTATCAAATCTGACTGCAATAAATTTTCTAAACTTTATGCCTTGCCAAAATTTCATAAAATTTCGTTTCATAAATTCTGTTTTAAGTAACGGTACTCAAAACTACAAAAAGGCAAGTGATAAGATTTTGCTCTCCAACTTAAAAAAAAATCTGTGCATTTATTTTTGAATCAGTTTATAAAGAATATTTTTATAATTAAATTATAACCAATAACATTTTTGCTCTTTCCACACTTAAAAAATTCGAAATAAAAGAAATTAATTATTATGATTTTAAAAATCTATATACCTTTATTCAACTTGCTGAGAGTTAAAACAGTTTCGTTTCACTAACTAAAACGTTTCCTTAAATTCTTACATTTATTTCAGTAGAAAATTGCAAAGTCTCCTTAATCGCGCACTTCTTAATAATTACGTACAATATAAGGACTCTGTCTTCCAACAAATAAACATGATACCTATGGGAACATTATTCTCCATTTTTGTGTGCAACCTGTACCTTTTCATCAAAGAATATCTACCAAAATCTATAACACAAATCTGTTACACAAAGGGATAAAATTTACTTCAATAATACTTCTAGATACATTGATGATATCATTGCAATTACTAACTTAGGGAAAATAGAAGAATGTAATATTTATCAAATATTTTAACCATTAAAACTAATACTATTCAAAAACAAATTAATTATTTAGATTTATATACTTTTGATATCCAAAATATTAAACTTTATAATAAAAGAAGAGACTTCAAGTTTAAAACTATTACATTTAATCACTGGGAATCCAGTATTTCGAAAAAGGTTATTAATAACACTATTCTCAATCAAATACATAGAATTAAAACGTCTGTACTGCAGTTAATTACCTTCAGATCAACCTTTTAATTAATTATTTAGTAGATAATAAAGTCTCAAAATATTATATTAACGTCTCTCTAAAAACCAGGCGTTAACTACCAAATTTAAACCCTAATTGTATATTACAAAACGTCTGAATTACTATTTTAAACCGCAAGGAGAATAATGCAGAATGTTAAATGTTAAATGAAATTAATATTGTTAATACGTAAATATATTGTTTTGTACAACTTCCGTAATTTAATTATAGCTCTTTTCTGTTAACAACCCAAAGTCAACTATTTAAGTTTGTCTGCCGTTTCATTGGAACTACTTCAACAAACCAGACCAATTACGATAAACGTAGCAAAAGTTGTAGTGTTCCACATGTAAATTTGGATAGGTCTAAACGAAGGAAGATGAGGCTTGGAACCGACTTTTCCATGTTTCTTACAGAAACACCACATTATCGTATAAAAATATTTCCGAAGCTTCTAGGAAACCTAAATTAAAAGACGAATTAGTGCGAGTGATAATTTTCTCTTCCCGAAAATGGAAACTATGACTTTTATTCGAACACACGAAACAATTGTTTAAAACTGCACATATTTTTATTTTCCTGAAGCATCTGGTACTCATTCTGTCTTCGTCAGTTGAGATTCTCTGCCGGTGAGTATGTGGTTCATTTTTAATTCTCACTTGGGCGTCTTTGAAATACATGCATTGACCATGTGCTGCAGGTTGAAAGACCTTGAAACACTTATCTTTAACTCTCGAATAAACTTAAGAATCTTTGAGTCTCGAATAAATCTAACTTCTAACGAAATCTAAGTCTGAAATAAATCTGACCTTCCTTAGTCAAAACATAAAAATTATTCGCCAAGGAAGATTGCTGTGAACTCCTGTATGTTGATTACGACAAACAAAGCTAAGAGAGAAACTAGCACTAGTATTGACATATACAAGCATGTATGCGTTGTTGTCTAGTGATCTAGAATTACACTGAACTCTTTATAACAACGGAGAATGAAAATTTATGCTTATTGGAAAGTTCTTTGTAATGTTTAATATATAATTAATAAATATAGGAGGAATAATAAATTGAGATTCGAATTACTTACCATTGTGCTATGGACACTGCCAATCAAAGACAACTCCTGATTAGCTAAGGCATCACTGACGGGCATGGGGAGCACTTGAGTCCGCGTCCCACGCCTGTAGACGTCTGCATACTCAACAGGAGGGTCCATGTGCAGAGGCAATGTTCGTCTATGGTAACCTGGGACTCCAATATCGGTGTAGGATGAATCTTCTGTGATCTAAACATTAATAATAAATGAAAAAAGAAATGATTTACTAGAAATGTGCTAGCTTGAATTTATCTATTACGCGTTAAAAGTTTTCAGGCTTTGAAAGAAATTCATGTAAAATAAATTACCAGGAGCTCCTGCTAGAGAAATGAATTTTTCTCTTAGTAGTGAAAAGGGAAATATATCCTTAACTGTATATTTCTCAAAACTGTAATTCTTCTGCTTGCCAGCTCGATATCTCTAAGCCCGTTAGTCAAATTTTCAAAATCTTCTGAATTGTTTAAATCTTATGTGGGTATTAAACGACCAGCTATTACATTTCTCGTATGAAATGTTTAAAAATTAGTATGAATTTTATGTTTAAAAAATAGCAGTCTTTGGAGTCTAAAAAATAAAAAAATATTATTTTAGGAAAATACAATTCGATTATTTTTGAAGTTGATAATTTTAAGTATTACTTATTTTTCTATCTTAAGATAACATAACTAGAAATAGTGATTTGCCTACCAATAATGGTGTATGGTAAGCATTTTAATTTTATTGAAATGAAGAAGATATTTTATTTTTTCTTTATTTAAACTATTTTAACATATGGAACATAAAGTAAAATAGCAAATACAATATCAAAGATATCAAACTAAGAATAGGAAATGTTACTATTAATAAATTAATTAGTTACAAAGATACTGATTTTTAAAATCAGTCATAATTTTGGCATATTTTGACATTTTAAAAGTAGCTGATCCCATAAGCCTTTTCCCTTAATTAAGTATTACCCTTTAAATTTTAATCGAAACTAAATGAATTTAGTATTATACTAATTTTAAACTAAAAGCTTTCACATTCACTGAGAATGGTATGGCTGGAACAGGAGAGATAACTTTCTCTACTAGGTAGATGAAAATGAAGTTAAGACTAAAATAACGAGTTACCTCAGAATGTTTTCTAAGAGTGAGTTATTTCTGAGTCGGATACTGCTATTAAGGTTAACAAGCGCCTAGATATTGGGTTCTCATCTATCCCAGAGTTCCACACTCTGTTCGCTCGCAGTATGTCATTTCCGGTTTTGGGGAGGAATCTCAAATTTCGTAGTCGAGTGTTTACAAGCTAATTTGATCAAACATCTCTGATCTCTTTAAAACAAAACGGTCCTTTTCAGGACCAAATGATCACTTTAATTAATAAAGGGCCCTTTTCAGAGCCAAGTCTTCAATCTGATGAAAAAAAATCAAACTAATTCGGATATTTCTATGGATATGATTACATCAAACAAGTTTCCATGCGGACGTGGGAAATTCTTTTTTCCCAAATTAACTTGAAAAGGCATGTAAATAAAATGCCATCCAACGGATGAACACATATTGCAGTCTCTAAATTAAAAAGTATGTGAAACATCCAAACTCAAAATATGTGACTCTAGTTGTAATGGTGATCACATTTCAACTAAGAGACAGTATAAATGTTCTTTGTGTAAAGGGGGATTTTGAAAATGAGTTGATAAATGAACACTTTTTTACAATGCATGTGTAAAACTTGAAACATCAGAATTAAAATTTGAAATCCTAATGAAAGTTTTCATGAATGGAAAGATGTTTTGAAAATAAAGTCGAAATATAATACAGTATTCTGAAAACCACTGGTACAGTTACATATTTTACATGTCACCGTTCAGGGCATTTTCATTCACAGAGTTCTGGAAAGCGACACATAAAGCTACTGGGCAGTAAAAAAAATAATGTTATTGTCCTGCGAAATAAAATTGGACAAATCAAAACGAGAGGAATTATATGCATATTTCCAGAAAACACTGTAGGCCATGATGATATGAGTCATCTTTTCCTTTCAAGTAGGATAGAACCTTATTGCATCAAAAAATAGCAGCTAAAGTACCATTTGATGCAATTTTGGATGAAATACGCGATTCCATATCTGATTCTGGCCTCGAACGATTGCATTCTAATAACAAAAAAAGATCTGGCAAAACATTGAACGAAGTTTTGATTTAGCTTCCAGTGCAGTAAAGCATAGTAATGGTGTTGGTGATTTAATTATGGCAAAGCACACGAGGGCTATCTGCCTAAAGGAAGGGAGGACTTTCTAAGGGAAACTGGCTCGTATACACATTACACATGGGGAAAACCACGAAAACGCCCATGCAGCCAGCTCATTCGCGGGATTCGAACCTCGGACCGAACTACCAGTGTTCAGCGACTTTACTGCTCGACCGCTGGTCTTCTAAAGCATAGTAATGACTATGTGAGGGTTGACATGTGGGTGAATGAAATGCTTAGTTCACGATTTCATGCATGTTATATTATAAGGCACAAGGTGTAATCCCCAACACATACATTCCTTAACGATGAAGATTTATTCTCATCATAATGACAAATATGATGACAATAATCACAAAGTGAAATGCTAAAAAAAATTTAGTTCAGACTGCATACAGTTAGCTACAAAAGTCTGTGTACAGACTAAATTTTAAATTAAAAAAAAACTTAAAGCATAGAAAATGTTTTTTAATCATTGCATATTTTCTTCTATTAGCTAAAATTGTAAGCTTAAATAAAAAGTAAATAATATCAGTGTAATACTTTTAAATTTTTTTCAAAAAACTCAGAAATTCCATCCAATAAGTCTGCGTGCACTTTCAAAAAAAAAAAAAAAAAGTAAAATATAAGTTTTCTACATTACTTCAATACTTTGTAGGATACCCTTTATTCTTCAAAACAGCCTGCAGATGTCTGGGCATTGACTGAACTAGTTTTTAAGTGTCATCCGACATAAATTTCGCCCATTCTTTCTGCAATTTACTAATTAGCTCATTTTGCGATGTAATATTGTGTTTTCGAATTCGTTTCTCTAATTTTGCCCACAAATGTTCGATTGGATTGAGGTCTGGTGACTGTGGAGGAGTACGCAATTGTCTTGGAGTGTGATAGAGAAGACATAGAGCTAAAATTCCTTCACAATTTTAGCTCTATGTTCACAATTTTAGCTCTATGTTTCGGGTCGTTGTCTTGTTGGAAAATAAAGGTATTAGAAAGGTTTAAATTTCGGGCACTGTCTCGTAGATTTTTCTTCAGAATATCCAGATAAACATACTTATCCATGACTTTATCAATAATGTGAAAGTTTCCATCTCCTTTCGACGACATACACCCCCATACCATTACACCGCCAGCTCCATGTTTGACAGTTGGATTTTAATTTCTCAGATTCAGTTCTGTTCCTGGTTTTCTCCATACAATAGGGTGGCCATTAACTTTAAAAATTGTAATTTACTTCATCTGACCAAAATTACATTGTTCTAGAAGTCCTGAGAAGAGTTTAAATATGTTTGGCAAAAGCAATTCTTGTTTTCTATTTGTCTCGGAACGTATGCTTAGACCGGGTTTGCGTCCATGATA